AAAAAGATGTAGCTTCCTAGGCATATTTTTACACCTTGAGAATTTTTTTTAAAGTATACTAATGGTTTATTACTTTTGTAATTAAAATACAGATTTGTGGTTATGCAACTTCAACTACGTTTTAATTTTACCTCACTCCTTATAGGAACTATACCTCAAATTGGATTATTTATGTGTTTAAAAGTATAAGATATTATGTTTTTAAGTAGGGTTTGTAGAGATTGAAGGTAAATTCAAAATTACCTTAGAATATTTTCAGTGTGTACATAGATGTTAATTTCAAATTATTAATATTTAACTGACTTTCAAAGCACTTCCTGGGGAGATTATTTTGTGTTAGTGAAATCAGTGTGTAATTAATTTCCTTTGTTAAAAGCATCTCCGTTTTTCCCTCCACACAGTGAACATGGCCACAAGCAGGCTAATAGGTGCCGTGGCGGGCACCATTCTGGCCCTGGGGGTGATTTTTGGAGGCACAGGGTGGGGAATAGAGTAAGCATCTTTATGAGTTTCAGAGTGTTTCTGTTTGGTTCCTGGTGTGTGAGCTGACCCTTAGTACCTGACTCCCCATGTGTTGTCTCATTGACGTGTTTCCCGTAGTCGTGCAACTTGTGGTGTGATTTGGATATGTTTGTGTTGTGTGGTTTTCTTGTGCAGTGGAGAACCTTCTCCTGTCTGGAACAATGTGGGGCATAAAATAATGTTGGGGTGCTTATGATATCTTCACAATTAAGGCAATGGTCCAAAAAGCTTCCATTGCCCCTTCACTTGTAAAGGTAATTTTAAGATACAGACCTTTTTTTTTTTTTTTTTTTACAATTTTTTGGCAAAAACGCTTTTGTATGAGTGTTTTATTAAGATTCTTATAACAAATTTAGTCATCACCTGTCAAATAGATTCACATATACAACTAGGAATTATTAACACTTGTAGTTCCTTTTAGAGATAATTTAGATGATAGCCACTGACATTTTCTCTATTTTTTGAGAGTGATATAGAAGGCTTCAGCTTAATTTTTTAAAAAAATATTTAGGATACTGCCTTTATTTTCTTTTATATAAAATAGGTTAATAATTCAAATTCAAAGTTTATGTAAATATTTGGGAACAAGCAGCACTAAGAATGAAAATATTTTTATTCTAAACCCGCAAAACCTTAAGTGAACAGTTGCAAACTATCTAGTGGGTTTGTCTTAAAAATAGCCAGTGTATAAATGTATGTGCGCCACTTGCTCTCACAGAAATACAGCTCTCCTGGTGCCTTTATTTAGGTTGCTTTGTACTTGATCTACATCCTTAGAATAGCTGTCAGTTCTCTGTGGGATACTGCGTTCATGAGATTGCTAATCTGTAGACTAAAAGATAATAATGATTTTTAAAAAAAACTGTGTTTAACCCTCTATCTAATTACAGAGAGAGCATTTGCAAATAACAGGAATACTCCTTCACATTGCTGTCTTTGCTACTCACAGTGGTGGTGGTACCACTTCATAGCAGCCCAGGAAAGATATTAGTATCTTAAGGATCAGATACCCTCCACTCAGTCAGCCCAAACCACAGGCATGTTGATAACATCACCCATGTTCCTCCTCAGTCCCCCAGTTGCACCCCACAGAGGCTTTTCTTATGTACTGGGTCTGGGAGACATAGCATTAAGAGGGGAGCACGTCCATAGCTCACACTTTTGTGTTGAAGATTACCTCAACCTTCCCTCTCCAGGATTGCAGGGCTTTGAATAGACTTGGATCTTCTAACACATCCCATTGGTATGGATGATGAAGCTAGTTAACCTGGGGAAGCTAGAAATCCTGGAAAAGATAATGTTTCTGATTATAAAATAAAGTATAAAACAGAAGTAAAATATTTAGAGAAAACAAGAACTTTGTCCCATAAAATTTCACATTGGGTCTGTGGACTGGGTTCTATACAGAAGTAACATTCCTTTTCCAGGGGAAATTCTACACATACATTTATGTGAAATTCTTCCTGGGAAGAAAGCTGGTTTTTAGAAAATCATCCCAATTCCATTTTTTATATAATTTATTGACTGTGGTAGGCTACAATGTACTAACTGGTGGGATGAATTTTAATAATTTTCCCTTTGAGTCTTAGAGCTAGGCAAAATCTGTACCTTTGTTGTAAGCATAGTTCTTGTTACCAGCGTTCATTTCATCCACCCCTTCCAGTGTTGTTGGTTTGTGGCCATTTCTGGTTGTGACAGGTAAGTCTGGATAAGTGTATATATTTTTTCTATTATTATTGGCTTATATGCTGTTTTTTATCTATTGGTTTCCTGATTTGTTTTTCCCTTCAAATTCTAAATTTTGCTATAATTGTGAAGAATAAATACAGTTAAAAAAAATAAAATCCACATAGTACAATATAGTTTTAACACTTCCTACTTTAACTGATAATGCAATGTTCATTTCGTCACTAAGGACTCCATGGACAGAGAGGTTTTGTTTTATTTATTTTGTCTTGCTTTTATTTCTACTCCTCAGCTTATACTTGTAAATTAGGAATCTTTTTTCCATGGATTATATATTGGTGGTAATTCCAACCTATTTCCTGAGACAGTAATGTGCAAATCATATCTAAAGCATTGATTATGTTCATGGTACTATCAATATTTTTAAATGTTTCTTTCAAAATTTGATTCCCTACTAAGCTGTGGGGAGGAAATTCATATAAATGGAATGTTTCATTAGCGCAAGGGTTAGCAAACTTTCTATAAAAGGCCACATGGTAAATAGTTTGGGCATTGCAGGTGACAAAATGTCTGTCATAACTTTCCAACTCTGGTGTCTTAGCATGAAATCAGCCATAAACAGTATGTAGGGCCAGCCTAGTGGTGCGTTGGGTTAGGAGTTGGTTTGGGACACCAGCTCTGAGCAGCAGGGCCCCAGTTCGGATCCCACATAGAGGGCCAGTGATGCTGTGCCCTCTACAGTTAAGATGGTGAACAACAGCTCGACCTGGAGCTGGGCTGCCGTGAGCCATCAGCGATGGCGTAGACTGCAGTGGAGCTGCAGTGGGCTCCCATAAGCTACCGTTGAGTGACCAGCAGCTGGCAAGAGCTGCCAAGAGCCGCTCTGAGTGGCCATCCAATGGCCGGCGAGCGATCTGCCTCACCCAGGAAGAGCGCAATGATAATACCAACTTAGGCCAGTGACATGACTTCCTCCACAACTAGACTGAAGAATAAAAAAGGACAGCAACTTGTCTGTTCCCCTTCTCTGATTCCCCAACGCTGTTCCCCTCTCCCAATTCCCCAATAAAATCTTAAAAACAAAACAAACAAACAAAAAAACAGTATGTAGATGAATTAGTATGACTGTGTTCCAATAATGTTTCTTTGAAAAAACATTCATCAGGGCCGGATTTACCCTGTTGGCTATAGTTTTCTGACAGTCGATGTATACCATAAACTTCAGAGTCAGACAGATCTGTGTTCAAGTCTTGCCTCCATCACTTATTAATTTCTGGAAGCCTCCATTTCTTCATCTATTAAATAGGGATAGTCATAGTTCCTGCCTCATATGGATTTGTGAAGATCAAATGAAGTAACATTTATCAAGTGCTTAGAACTGCACCTGGCATATAGTGAGTGCTCAATATATAGTAGCTAACCTGTTTTAATTTTCTTATTATTAATATTATTATTTCTATCGGTGTATCTAAAGGACACTGAAATTTGTGTTTTGTGGGACCTCAGTGGTTAGTCTGAAGAGTGTGTCACAAGCCCAGGAGCCTGAAGAGACCACATCCCAAGATCCCCTTTGCAGCTGTCCTCTACCTTTCCACGCATGGCCAGAAGCACTGGGTGGTCTCTGAATAAAAACATGCCGCCCACCATTTTAGTGCTGCTAAAAGTGGCATTCATCTATGTACACACTTGAGGGCACTGATGTGAGCAGAAAAGATAATTTTTTTATGCAGCTGTGAATGTATACCCAAACGTGAGGATTTTAAGGGAACTACCAAAATTAGCCTTGTGACTTCGGGAACAGGGACATAAAGTTAGGACTGAAAGTATTTTGCTGTTAGGCAGCACTGTACTTGCATATTAGAATCCTGTAGGATGTGATATTTGAAATAATTCTTGTCCTACAGTTAATGTTGCGTACATTTAAAAATAATGACCCAAGGTCTTTTCCATGTGAGTGGAGAGCATGTAATGTAATATTTATCAACTCGTACTCAAAGAACTGATAGCAACACCATTTTGTGTTTTTTTTTCTTGCTGTTCTTCCTGCTCCCCCTCCTTTATTTATTTATTTTTAAAAATACCTCCAAGCCTCAAACTTCAAATGGGAACTTGAAAGATAGTCTCTTCTAACTTAAGGAATCATTCTTCCATTTCCCCCAAAATTACCTGAATGAGTTTTACGCTTCCTTTATATCTTGCCTTTGGAGGCCCATGTTGCTGTTGAAGCACTGTATGAGTCTGTATAGTAAAAAAATATAACATTGAGAACAAGGCTTCAAAGTCAGATCTTTATTGGTAACCTCCTTCTGACTTGTGAATTTTAGCTGGATTAAAAACGAGCGTTCAGACCACTTTATGTGCTGCTTGAAAGAACACGTCAGTAGAATATTTTTCCTTCTTTTCATGCCCTTATTTGCCAGTCAGATCAAGCTCATTCTAATGCAGTCATGTTCTTTATGCGCTCTTTTACTTGTTTGATTCATAATACTGGGAAAGGGGAGGAGAAGAAAGACGGGCAATGACAGCAATTGGGCATATTTGCTTCAAATTCTGTGAAAGGTGAATTTAATGGAACTTATTTTGTCAATGGTGCAGAAGCTTTCAAGTTAAAGGCATTCAGTAGCTATCCATCGCATTGAAAGTGCAATTAGGCTAAGTAATAAAGACGATTTACGTGTTTAGCAGTCTTTTATGCAGGGTATTTACTTCCTGAAACCGCTTAACTGCCTTTCCCTTGTGGTAACGAAAGTGGTTGGCTCATATGACTTTCTTCCCATGATCCTTTGTCACAGGTCCTAGTGCCACCAATCTCATAATAGGCTCCATCGCTGGTGCCATCCTGGTAGCAGCTATTGTCCTTGGGGGCACAGGATGGGGATTTAAGTAAGCGACGCCGCATGTCTTCTTCTCAGTGGCTCTGGCTCTTCTCTTTTCTGCTTACATGACTACGTTTTGAGTTCCTGCTACTAGTTTTAAGAGTGAAACTGCTAAAAATAAATATTTTTTATTGAGAATGGGTCAGAAAAGAAGACACATGGAAACTCAAATGTCATCTTCAGGCAAGTGGGAAAACATAAAATGTAGAAGGGATTCACATGCACCGGTTTAAGGAGAACAAAGTAGAAGTTCTTTAATAGAAGATATTCCAGCTTTTAGGAGCCAGCATTCTGGGATACATTTATTTATATACAGATAATTGAGGAAACTGTGTAGTTGGAAAGAGGGGGTATAAATTCCTTACATCTGTTTAGAACTGGTTTATGTTCTATTGACATTTTGAGATTTTCACAACCTAAGTAACCATTTGTTCATTATTTTTCACGTGTAACGTATTATATATATGTAGCTTTGTGATTTGAAAAGCTTCATTGTTTTAGAAAAACAGACTTTAAGAAATATTTTCATTAATTCCCTAACCAGCTGAATTAGTTTCAAATTGGAATTTGAAATCTGTGGCTTTGCAATACTTAACAGTATTTTCTAATTAACTGCTAATATTGACAGAACTGGTAGACCCGGTGTGTTTTCATAGTGACCTTTTAGTTTGGATTGTACATTGATCACTGAGCTAAGTTTGTTTAAATAGATATGCCAGATCATCACAAATAGTACTTAAATATGATGAAAAATTTTAAACCTAATTTTATCTAGTTTGGATGTTTCCATACCTCAGAGTCATTGGATAATTGCTTTTTATAGCTTTTCATGCTACGGTGACTTGATTATTATGATTCGTAAATAAGACTTCCTTTGCCAAATACTCCTTGTGATAAATTAAGTTTCAACCACATCTGTAGAAACAAGTTTAAGTGGGAAATTTTTATTTAATTAAATAAGGCCATTATTTAAATTCAAAACCCACTTTGCCTCCTCCGTCTGGTTACTCAGAGAGAAAGTTTTTTTACCTGAATTGTCTGAATAATTGTCTTAATTATGAAGTTTAGTCTATTTTATATTTGGAATCCTGAATTCAGTATATTTAAACCAGGAAAAATGTTATTATTAGCAACGAATTGTAAAAGAAAAACCAAAAGATGATTTAAATAAATTTAACATTTTCTGCTAATTTTGTTATATTAAGATTTAATGAGTAAGCCTACAAGTTTTGGAGTGGCTTCAACTTGGAAAGTTGTCATCAAATACTACTTTTCTACAGCAATATTTATAAACTTGAACTCATTTGGTGGAACAGTAGTTGGAGCATCAGTGTGTTTTCAAATACACACACACAAAATGGGCAACTCACATTTGAATTTCTCGTCATAATATTAACAACACATTGCCCATATAATGAGTAACTCATGTGGCAGCTAACAAACAGAATATATTTTTGTTTGGACTGGCCTAATTCAAGCAAAAAATTTCTTAGTGCTTCATTACCATAAACAAGCCATTGCACATTATAGTAGTTCCATGATCTGTTATTATTTTATAGTAAGCCTCCTTGATCTTTTTCATAAGTATGCCTCCAGTAAAAGAAATTTGGCTCATGTCCAGGCTCATGCCTCTTTGGCATTTGGAAACCTCAGTTTCAAAGGCTTGGAAATCAGTCTACTGCTCATCTTTGTCACCCAGCCACATGTAATGCCAACTTTTCCATTTCAACATTTGGAGACAAGAGCACCATTCTGTAGCAGGACCTCAAAACAGCGGCCTGGCCTAGCTCACAGCTTGAATTGCATGTTTCTTTGGGGAAGAATGGAAAAGCCTTTGTCACTGTGTATGTAAGTGAATTAGGCCCAGTGCAGACTGTTTCTATCTGAGAGACATTTAATCTGCAGAAGAACAGGAAAAAAAGGGGGGTTGGGGATGGAGATGGATATTTGGGGAGGTGAGAGACAGCCTCTGCTGAGCGCCAAGTGGGGGTTGCTGCGAACTGCTAAGTCAACGCCCCTTCCTATGCCCAATGACCCTAAGAAAGAAAAACATGGAAGAAAGGCACACAACTGTGCAAAGTAAATATTTTTATGCCCTGAAACAAAAATAAAGTGAAGGAGTGAAATAACTTTAAGGGTTTAAATTTGGGGACACTGCTGCTCTTCATGCTGACTCTTTGTTGCTACATGAGGTTCCAAATTTGCCTTAGATTTGAATAGTAGCTATGTGGTTTATAGTAAATGTTACATAACTTTTGCTTCAACTTTGCAATTAGACTTTCGGGGCAGAATGATAAAGTGTGTAGATTTTCCCACTGCTTGGGCAATTTTGGAAATGATTAGTCTAGAAATGATTTGGAAGTATAATTGTTTGCTTGCTAGTTGAACGGAAAGCCTTTGAGTTTCTCATTGGGTTCAAGGTAAACACAAAAGAGATTCTTTTAGAATCAGAAGTTGAAAACAGTTTATAAAAACGATTGCTCTCACTACCTTTATTGGAAAGCTCGCTTGAAACCAGGTTTTTATTGCTAGTAGTGACATTAGTGAAGTAACGGGAAGAATTTGAGGGCACATACACTTTTTAGATTAAAGGAAAAATGTATTAGTTGCTCAGGGGAAGTATTGGCCTTTGCTAATGTCAAATTTCTTTAAGTGTAATACTGTGAGTAATTTAGATGTGGAAGAAGTATCATACCATACATGACCGGTTCAAGTATAAATGAAAAATATAGCTATGCTTTGACCCCTGACATTGACTGTCATTCTTCATAGTTTTTTCAAACTGTATTTCCTCTGAAATAGGTGGTTAAAGGGTGAGTGTATGTGTGTGTACATGTGTGAATGTATGTATCTTTGTGTGTGTTAAGTGATAAGGAAGGTTTATGTGATAAAAATAATATAAACTTAGATCTTTTTAGCAGAATAGTACAGCCTGAAAGCTTTGCTTAATGCAAATAAGACTTCTGTAAGTAAAGTTGTAGAATTCCTGAAAAGAAAAAAAAAATATTTGGTAGGTTATTTTATTTAACATAGTCTATATATTAGGTAATGTGGTAGATATGCCTTAGTAACTTTGGTTAATCTCATACTCCAAAAGTATAAAGATGCTAAGAGATGATTTAGTCAATGGATTCCCAGTCTTTAGGGTCTTAGGATTTTTCTCTGAAAATGAACATTTTTCTATGAAAAACGAATATAGTCTGTTGACACACCAATTTGTCCAACTTTTCCCCATATTTGCATTTATTTACCCTCACCTCATGTTCCTTTTCCTCTCCATCACCTACATACATAGAATAAAGCTATGAACTGGAGTGCAGAGGACTGCACCTGCCCTGGTTGACTCATGGGGACTCAATGTTGAATAATAATGTTACTCGATTAGATCTTTGGAGATGTTGCTTTTACTACATTGGAAAAAATCATGTAGATGAAGGGTCATTTTTGTAGCATCTTCCCTAAAACTTAGGAAAGGTGACAAGTAGATGAAAAGAGAATTTCATGTCTCCATATAAAAATGAACAGAGTTACCATTATTACCATGGACATGACTTTTTATCTGGTTCCCTAAATTTGAATACAGGAAATTAGATGTGAGCAATATAATCATTTACATGCACATAAAATATATGAATATCATAGGTAGTGGTAGTAAGAAAGAGAAATTCTAGGAAAAAACTTGAAGGTAATAATGTCATAATTTGTTCACAGTTCAAATCACAAGACTTCAGGATGAGTATTGAGCTCTTCCAACCACATTAATGTCTCAGTCTGTGGAATCCCCTCACCATGTCCCACTGCCCCACTAGTTGCTTTCTCCATGGGGTTCAGTGGTGGTAGTGGCCATACTGGCCTGGCAGAGCTGTTCTTGACATTAGAGTGTTGATTTAGTACATCTGTAATTATCATATGTGATTTCTTCTCTATCAAAACTTACTTGGGTTACACGTTCTTACTGAGCCTTATGGTGACTGTAAGCAGTTCTGTTTGGCCTATGTTCTGTTTCACTGGCCATGCTAAAGAAAGGACTGTTCAGGTACTCACATAAATGAAAATTTAAAGCACTCTTATCTGGGTTATCAAATGGAAAGTTAACTGAATTGTTGTCAAGTTGGATGAAGTTTGAAAGGAACTTAACATTGGTAATTATTTTTCTCAAAAGAATGAATGCTTTTTCTTTCTTTCTTTTTTATTTTTTCTTTTGGTTTTTACAGAATTAGCAAATGGAATCAATGTTAGCTAGTCTTTCAATGAGGAAGATAACCAGACTACTGCTTATCTAAATTCCATGACCATGCCCAGTGTGAAACAAGGGGCCCGATTCTGCCAGTGCCTGCCACCCCTGGGCTAGGCACTTTCTCTCTCAGATCGAGCAGATGGTAGTGGTGCCACACTGGCTAGGAAGACCCAGTTCAGCTCTCGGACTCAACCCCCTGGGGAAGTGAACTCAGTTTAGGAGGGGTTGGGCAAGGCGGGTGGTGATCATTGTGGAAAGGTAAGGAGGTGATAGCAGTGGCTAAATATGTACCCTTGAAAGATCTAAAGGCTTTACAATCTGGAATGGCTATCATTACCTGAAGAGCTTTGTTTTAATTTTGTGTAGGTGTATATGTATGTCTGTATAATATATGTTGTGAACACAAGTACGGGTTTTTCAGAAAGTAGTAAAGATTGATGAAACTGGGTCAATGCAAGGTTTATGGACTCTGGTAATATTTTATAATGTTCCAGAAATACCTTACAGGTTATGTTGAGAAAGTTAATTGCCTTCACAATCCTCGTGAGCAGACGGTATGCAGATGAAATAGTTGTGGAAGGAAGCTAGCAAGCACCTAGCCATGATAGTTGTGCTTTTACATTAAACTTGATGAAAAGACATTTTTTCATATAGAAAATTCAGGACAGGGAGTTCTCAACACACAGCAGCCCATAGTGGTTTTACAGTTGATACCTGGGGAACCCTCACAACCACCCTGCCACGGGAGAGCCCCTCTTTGTCCTCGTCTCGGGGCTTTGCCTTCCCCCTCCTGATTAGTGGAAGAAATATGGTCCTGGAATCCCCATTGGTATCCAGAGTCCATGTTCCCATAGAAATACATGGTTCTACAGGGTGGTCTGGCCCGAGAACCCAGTCACCCTATATAACATTGTTTCTATAAAAAATGCAACCTCAGCTTCAAAAACTGACTTTTAAAAGGAACACAAGCTTTCAGACACTGGAGTTTGCCTGTATGCCAGGCTGAAATGGAATTTCATATCTCCATTTAAAAATGGATGAGATTGCAGTAATGACCTTGGCCGTCGGCTGTTTACCTGACATTCCTTGAATGTAAATAAACAAATTTAGATGTGGGCAATATAGGCATTTACAAGCGCAGCGCTAGCTGGCTTGCTCTTTCCTCTACATTCATTTCAATTGAGGAGACATCAGTTTAACATTTCTCTTGATGTCCAGTGATACATAGCTAAATAAGCTGAGGTCCATGGTCCTTCAGGGTCATATCACAAGGTCAAGCTGTCCCTGTTATTCCCCATCTGACTCATGGGAAGTGTGGTTCCTCATGTGTCTATTTTTGAGGGTTATGAGCATGGGTGGCAGACGCAGGTCCTGTGTTCAGAAGCAAACTCAGTGACAGGTACATTATGGGAGAAATCCCTTTCGGTCTCATCTCTGTTTCTGGGGCAGCATCAGCAATGCCTGCTTTCAAAAACATTGACTCAAAACAGGGTTTGTGGAGGAATGGGGAAGAAAAGGAAGTGGCACTGCTGCAAATAATGTTTACTGCAATGGATTACCTGCTAGGCCAGTGAGGCACGTGCTTAGGCCATTAATGAAGACATTTTAATGAAAAGGTTTAAAATGAAAAAGGAGATTATCTTTAAAATGTTTTATATTTGGTATTTCAAAAGAGAAGCATCAAAGTGGTCATGACGGGAAAAATAAGAACTTTGCAGGATGCCTTTAAAATATTTTGAGCTTTAGTATTGTTTTTATTTTGAATTATGTAGTGGGGAGGAGAGAAATAAACTATAATTCTTTCGGTACTTAGGGCGGTAAGGGTATCCAGCTGACCCTGAGTGAGTGGGCAGGGAAATGAGGGCTCCTGGGGACGCCTCGGTCTCCAGTTTTGCATGATGCCTCGGTGGCAGCAGCATTGCACCCGCCCAGTGTGCAGATTAAGTGCATGAGCCCCCTTGCTTGATGCCCCACATGAAGCCAGACCATGGGGAGGTTGCAACCAACTTTTGTTGTTGCCTTGTACAAGTGTCTTGCTGGTTCTTTCTTTTCTCTTTTTTTAAACATAGGAACCACTTTTTAGGAGACTGGACACTGTGAGCAAGGCATTTTAACTTGCTTCTTTCCACTAAGCTAATCTGCTGCATTTGCTTAACTAACCTGAGCCTGTGTCCACTCTCCTCGGAGTGCACTGTCTTCCGGTGCACTCTGGTTGTCAGCTTTCTAGACATGAAAAATGCTAGTTCCATAGTTGGGTAAGAGCTCACACCCCCAAGGCAGCAAGATTATTGAGTAAAACAAGGCTTTCTGCCATCTTGGCACAGGCTGATCTGCTGATACAGAAGCCTCAACTACAAGACCTCAGAGTTTTTCTTAGTTCGAATAGTCCCCTCCCTATAATCATTTTCATCTAGTTACAATTATTGTCATATCAATTACACCTGAACTAAGAGACAAATTGGGCTGCGGAGGCTTCCAATGATTTAAAATGAACAACTCGAAGCTTCTTTTGGTCTTGATGAATGGATATACTCTAGTGGAGATGCTGTCAAGACATTCACAAGTGTGAGGTCTTCTGTGTTTTGATTTCGAGCTATGTTGGAAAATCTGCCTCGGTGTGAGTTGATTCCTTTGCTCTGGAACTAGCATTGTTGTCATTATCATCACCCTTCTTGCATCATGATCTGATTAATATTGTGGATATTTTCCCCCTCTGCTTCCATCTTCTTTTGACGCACTCTGGAAGAAATGTCAAGAAGAGGAGGTTCGATCCTAGCCAACAAGGCCCCATCTGAACCTGCTGCACTGGAGAAACGGTGCCTCGTGCTGTTGGATCTGGGTATGACATACTTGTAGCAACATTGCCAGAACTATTAAGTCTGTAAACAAGAACCCTGAGTGGTGATGACTACAGAACTAAAGTTGGGGTGACAGGGATGAGTTAAAAAAAACAAACTGTCCTGTTTGGAAATAATTTCAAAGAACTCCGCCCACCACCCGTCAATAAAAGGGGCAAAAGACAATGTTATAAAAAAGAACTATTTCAGAATCAGAATATTTTTTTTCTAACTAAAGGAAGAAGGAACAACAACAACAAACATTAAGTGCAATAAAAGAACCATTAAAAATAGCAAATGATTTTTTTTTCCCTTCCTCAGCCTGCTGGCACTTAATATCTTCTAAATGATTTGGCATGATTTTTTTTTCTCCTTTTCCTACCAATGACACACTCCAGTGGCATGAAGATCTAATTTTCGAAGGGGTACAATCTGCATGGCATATATACAACAAGCAGCTAGCAAGCCAATCCGCAGCAAAAACTACAATTGAATTCCTAAGATGCCGGTGACAGATGAACGCAAGGAAGCTGCCTGGCCCCCATCCCCTAGGGCAGACCAGGCCACGAGGACCTGTAGACGCCCCTGCTCCTGTTGATTCACTTCCCCCATGGTCTTTTCTCCCGGGCCAAGCAGCCTCTGGAAATGGGAGCTGGAATTGGAGCAAGGATGCTATTGTAGAGTCCTTTTATAAATGTAAATATGGAAATAAGAGATTTTGACACATCGTTTTCACTTGTCTGTATTGAGATATTTTTCTTGTAAAGGTTCTCTGTAAACTTGAGTTGATTGTTTGCTCCCCATCCATTTGGTTTCTTGTCTCTATTTCTTTTTCTGTCTCTGTTCTCTCTTGTAACATGTGGGACAGTGATTGTTGGGCTTGCTTACAAAAGACATGTAGCCATAGATGCAGGGAGTTGGTGCACAAAACAGGTTCAATTTAAAAATGAAATGCACGAAACCAAAAATACACAAGGTGGGGATGGGGGACACCAAACAACAAAATAGCCCATATTGAAGACACAGAAGTGATGTAAGTGCAAATATATGTACTGCTAAGTCTCTAAATTTTTTTGATGTCCTTATAGACATATGTATATAATGTAAGAAAGCAGACACCCTCTCCGATTAATCACAAAAGTGCCAAGCTCATGATTTTCATTTTGGGTTTTGACAGTTTTCTTTCCCTGTCTTTAATGTGAAAGGAGGATAAACTTAAAGCCTTAAATTAAAACAAAAAAATTTTTTTTTAATGTTGAAGGCTTAGAAAAAAAGTTAAGCTTTCCATTTTATTCATATCTATTATTGTCAATATGTCGTTCATGCTTCATCTTCCTGGTAGAACCCCACTGTAAAACCAGTCATGGAGACAGAAACAGCAGTTACCTTCTTGGGAGCACTCTTGAGATAGTCTTTTATTCTGTGTGTTGTGTTTTCAGCAAACCTTGTTTGGTCCTCAGTATGTTGCTGGTCTGTGGGATGTTGCACTGGAATGCACCGGGATTCTGCTAGACAGAAATTCCCCTTCTTTGCCCTCCAGGCAGATTTGCAGTGTAATCTGGGTTCGCAAGTCCCTCTGAGTTTATTTCACTTTCACTGAGGTTTCTTCTTCCATAAACGTGGTCATGATGGATTCCTTTCAAGTGTGAATTATATATGCTAATAAAGAAATTTGGTCCTCGCATTGTTTGGAATGTACAGACTTGTACATGGTCCCTTCAGTGAGTGTCCCTCTAGAGACAAGCTTTCCTGAAGGTCCCCAAGACGCCCGTGCTTCTCTGATGGTCTCTTTGTAGGAACAAGACACTTGTACTATTCACTTCGTGACAACCAAATCAGTGGCTAGATTTAGCTTGAAGTCTCTTTTCAGCAAGATTTATCACACTAGTCTCACAACTTTGGCTTTGACTTTGGAAAGGATTATGTCCTAAAAATGTACTGCTTAAAACTGTGGGGTTTTCCCTACATCTCTTTAATTGTGGAAGTATCACAGTCATAGAGCAGAAACTTTGATTTCTGTATGCTACAATAGATCGTAACCTAACATCTTAACCCTGTTATTGCTTTCTTTTTTTTTTTTTTTTTTTTTTTTTTTTTTTTTTTTTTTTTTTTT